AAGTATTGTATATTAATATCATAATCTTTTGTAACATAAAAAATGCACGGTTATTACGATTTTGTACCTGACGAAAATAAATTTTTCGATAAACTACTTATTTACTGCAACATTTAAAGCTCAGGAATCCTTGTAAAAAAAAATTTATTAAAAATCAACAAATAAAAAATTGTAAAAGAAACTGACACAAATAAGGTTTAATTATTTCCACTGTATTGGCCTTGAGGGGATAACGAAATCGCGCCCCCACTGGGCACTTTGAGAACGATTGGTCGTCATTAGAAAAGGACAGTACTATGAATTGATTTCCACTTTCCACATGCGTGTAGAAAAGAGACGTTTAAGGGTTGGCCACCAGGTGAATGGAGCCGGAAGCTCGATTTTATAATAATTACCTTTTCTAATGATGACCAATCGTTCTCAAAGACTCCAGTGGGGGGCGCGATTTCGGAATTGCGCTCAAAGCGAATACATTTCCTGCAGACACATACACAGACGCAGGTAAATATTTACGATGTATTTTAAACTTTTAATTAATAAATCTTACTTGAAATAAAGTACTAGAATTAAAATAAATTATTATCTGAATTTTAAATTAGTTTTTAAATTAACTACCGATAAGAAAATTATCCGACCCAGATGTGAAAGTAAGAGATAAAAGATTTCGTACTGATTCTTTGAAATATCGATAAAAAGAAAAGTCATTTATGGTACTAAATTAAGAATGACCGAAATAAATTATACATAATTTGGTTTGTCGAGATACTGATTACTGATCACAAAATGAAATATAAATACAAATGGAACTGCGTAAAATTTCACATCGTGGTTTTTAGTGAAGTCACAGACGCACGCACAAAATGTTTCGACGCAACTCTTTCCGAATTTTCATTCTCGTGGTCTTTGCTACTATAATGAGCACCAGAGCTGCTTCTCAACATGAAGTTGACAAGCTTGTCATCGAGCAGTATGGGGTATAAAGCTTTGTTTACATGTAAAAATTTAAAACATTTCTTTTGTCCACAATCGTAAGACATTATAACAATTCATTCTTATCACTATTTAATTTGCATTTTATTTTAAACTTAGAAAATTCTAATTTAATTTTATGACTTACGATCAAGCTTACGATAGTGGAATAGCAGCCAAAACTAATTACGATATTTAATTTTCAGCTGCTTAAAGACTTCATTGAGTTCTTAAAAAGCAACTTAGGAATTGCTGTGGAGTGTATAGATGACGCCGTAGTTTTTTGCAGGGAAGAGGACCGATCTATTTACAAGCAGCCTAAATGCATTGTGAGTATTGACAAAATTTAAAATTGTGTCAAAGTAAAAATTTATACCCTGAATTTGTATTTAGAATGTTATGTAGCTCTTGTTAAACTTCATTATAAATTATTGCATTTGTAAAGTGGTATTTTACTTGTTATAAATGTTGTAGTTGCGGTTCATTTTACAAAAAAAAGGGAAATGCAACATCACTAACGACAAAAGCAATAACGTTGACAACGTTGAGCTTGAGGAACTTGGGGTAAGAATTATTTTACAAGTTATGCTTCGGCTTGTTTTTGTTCATAATCATAAAATGATAATCATACAGCAGTAAAAATATCACATTTTTGTATAAACCGAAGATCCATCCAGAATTCATAAGTATACAAGAAGAATAATGGCTTATAATTAACAAAATATTTACAAGAATAGTTTCAACACCAGAAAATATAATTTTATTTTAAGAGATCATTTGCTTAGAACTATTAAAGCAAAATATTTTCTTGAATCTAAGAACTTTTTTCTTTAGTGTACTTTATTTGCAATGGTTGTTTGACAGGTATGGCAAGATTTTCTAGAATACTTGAAAACAAATTTAAAGATTGCTAGGGAGTGTGCCGATGATGCTATATCTTACTGCAGCAAGCAGTACCCATCCATTGTCCAACGACCGCTATGTATTGTAAGCATAGACAAAAATTTTACTATTTTAGAAACTCATTTAATCAACTACTGGATTAACTTTCCTATGGTAAAAAAAAAATTTGCGCAATCAAGATTTTTTTTAATATTAAAAAGTCTTTTTTCATAACTAGTTTTTAAAATTTCTATGCAGATATTTTATTTATTTTGTCACACGTGATTATGTAATAGTTCTACTTTATTTACAGCTGAAATACATTTTTCAAAAAAGAGGCCTATGCAACATCCATAACTTATGAGGAGTAGTATACATAACTGCATGTTTTTCTAGTTATTTATTTATGTGTATAAATAGTATTAATTTAAATATTTCACAACGTTCTGTGAAACTATTAATAGTTTAAATAAATGACATACTTGATAAACCCTTTTGTTTAATATGAAAATTTTATTTACATACAGCTCTAAAAAAATATAAAACATAAAAGCTAAAAAAAATTAGTTGTTAGTTGCGATTAGATAGCAATGAGGTATATTATTGTCGACCTGTAAGATACAATCGAGCGATGACATAAGATTATCCATATTAATAAGTTGAAATAAGAAAAAAAAGTAGTTTTTAAAGATTGTTTTTATTATTACTGAATCATTTGTTACTTTGTGGTGACAAACTCCCGTAGGAAAATCAATTAAAATTTATTTATGCCATAGTCTGAGCAAAACTCAGTAACCATCAAAGTTGCTGATATTAAAAAACACTCAGTCGATTTTCAACAGTAAAATTACACGTCTTTGTTCTTTTATAGATTCAGTATTTCATTATTTCGTTAAGTAGCCTTATGGTACGACGTATTAGATGTAAAACAAGCTTGAATCTACAACCCTTATGAATACTTTACATGTTATTGACAAAAACTAGTAAAAAACACGTAAACAGCAACTTTTTAGTCCCTGCAAATTTTGAGAAACAGAAAATAGTTTTTTTTAAGACAAAGTCAAAAACAAACCAAAATTTCTTGCTATTGCCATAGTTAGTACCAAAGCTGAAAAAAATAAAAGTTTTAAAATTTTAATGACTGATATAATACCTGACAAATGGCAAAGGTTGTCTTATTGATATTTCTAAAAAGTATGCACACCCTAACCTTCCAATCTAAAATAACGACTCATTAAGTTAAGACTAACGACTACCCAAAGATTACCAATAATATTGCTGAGTTTAGAAAGAATAAATCGCAAAGACTTTTTCCGAAGTTTTGTTCCCTTGAGCTTCTGGCTTTAGTGGTTTCTACTGTTGGATAATAAGTTATACTCAGTACTCCAATAATAATTTAAAAGCACATGAGAGCTAAAAATAAGAAGTTTATATAAAGTACACGTTATAAAAGCAATTCATTTTTGGGAAGCAACAGAAGTACTTCTTGAAAAAGCCCAAGAATTAGCTTGAAACACACTGCAAAAAAGTAATAGACATGTAGTGTTTTTTATATTATGATTTATCTGAAACGGCTGTTTCAAGAGAAGAAGAAAAAAAAAGGTAAAAATAACCGTTGAATAAAAGCATAAAATATTGATTAAACATGAGAATCTTATAAATAGTTTAGGTGAATAGTTAATGCATTATTCATTTGCAAGTTATGCCAAGTCGTAATAGTTATTTACGTAACAAGTGCGGAAAAGACGATTTCCCGCACGAGTCGTGATTGACTCGCACGAGTGGCTGGAGTTGACGGGAACGAGTACTAGTTGAGCCCACGAGTGCGTAGCACGAGTGTGATCGCAAGGCACGAGTTACCGTCACCAGCCACGAGTGAGAATCTATCACACGAGTGTGGGAAATCGTTCCGCATGAGTTGCGTACAAGATTTTTCGCAATAAGTGTAAGGAATATAGTAAGTATGTTTATGATTCGCAAGAAAGGTTGAAACCCCTGGCGGGGGACCAGGGGACAAAGCCCTCGGTGGGGGTACGGAGGGGCAAAGCCCCCCAACTGCAAAAATATCAAATGATCATTCAAAAAAAAAAAAAAAATGTTATTTTATGCCTCAAATATAAAAGCAGAAATTGGATTAAATTGGAATTTTATTTAAAAAAATAAACTTTGAATTAATTAAACAAAAATATTTTCAAAGAATTTGGGACCCCACAACAAAAAAATGGGATTGTGGTTCCCAATTAAATGTTCTGAAATCATAATATGATATAGTTTAATGAAATTAACAAAAAAAGTCTNGGCAGTAATGTTTAGAGGTTATTGTCACGTACGATATCATAGCTACACGTACAAGTGAATTCTCTTTCTGGGGCCTACTGAAGATGATTGTAGTTGGAGAGAGCAGAGGGATAAGCAGATAGGATGCTGAAAGGAGCGGGCTATCTAGCGAGAATTTCGCTAGTCTCGATTATCCACTTCATCGCTCCCTAAATTTGAAATAGTGAGTAACCATTGTTTTACAGTGAAAATCCAGTATTTCATCAAGTTATACGTATACAACTTTGAAATAATGAATAGTCACTGTATTGAATAGTAAAACCATATTAACTATATTTCAACCACTTATTTGGAAGTGAAATGGTTTACTTTCAAACCAGAGAATATTTTCATGAATAGTTTCACTAATTCAAATAGTGAAATGAATAATATTACAAAACTACAAAAAAAATTAAAATAAAACTGATATAAAGACAACAGCATCTATAAGTAGAAGAGAATGATTTTTCTTTCTCTTTAGCTCTGGCTGTTAAGACACATGGTGGCTCTGTTGGTAGCGTGTCTGCCTACAGATCTTGATGGCCGGAGTTTAAATCCCACTCTGCACCAAAATTTTCATTAACAAATGAGGTTTTTTTTGGATGGGATTTGAGCTTCAATAAACCTACCGTTATAATCGACCGTTTCTCACCTACTGTTGATTAAACAACGTATGGCTAAATACACTTTATAGTGTAAAAATAGCCATGTCTGAGTCCGTAGAGGGGGTGACGATGAATTAAAAAAAAAAAGCTCTAGCTGTTAATGGAAAACAGTGATCAGTCGAGTCCACACATTAACCAACGATACTTTATTTCATCCCGAGGATTGGTTACTTGTAGTACTTGCACTGTTCATTACACTGCCAGCACCAGCACTCAATGCTGCTTATATATAAGTACACTGATCCGCCACTAGTTGCATCTACAAAACCAAACTTAAATACATTACATGCTTTTCTTAGACATTTTCTTATACATTTATCAGGATTATAATTTTTCACACACAACAAACAACACAAGTAATTCTCTGTAACTTATATTTCTAGTATCATTAAGTACATACGACATATTATACGTAAACCTAACATTGTATTTTTTTAAATATCAAAACAACCCTTAGAAAACACTCGCGAACAGATTTGACTTTGCTCCTTCAGCGACACATACACGACTGAGCTGTTGACTATGAAAATAAGTGAGTCCAGCGATTTTCACTTTATAAATAGTGAATTTATATTACTTTTCACTTTATGAAATAGTGAACTAAAAAATTAGTTATTATTCACTATTTTAAATGTCAAGATCTCATTCAATTCCGTAAATAGTGAAATTTTCACTAATTCAAATTTAAAGAGCGGGATACCGTAATTATCGTGGATATAAACTAAAATGGTATCTGAATTCGCGCTTGGCTAACTGTCAGCATCAGCACGCTTGCATCGATTTGTGCCAAAACAATTAACGGAACGAACCTTGTTAATTTGATTCCTGCTAGCCAAAGTTTTAGCCGATCCCCTTCCTTTTTTTAATGAAATGAGTGGATGGTTGGAAGGGGTAAAAACGGTTAAAGTCAACTGTGTCTTTTCTCTTTGTTAATTAGATTATCGAGTTGTTGAGTTGGCCTCGGTAATTCAGGTCATCGAATAGTTCAGTCTAATTATATGAGTCCCATCCGTTTTTTTAACGTTTTCGTAGGTTGTTTGGTATGAATGATTTTTTTTTATATGGCTAAATTTATGCAAAAAATTAAAGTTATCCATTCAAGGCAAGACTGCCACATTTTTTACTACAGCAAAACATATTCGTATGAATAAACAAAAATTTTTTTTTGAATAGTCAACATTGAGGCTATTCAAAAGTGTAAAAACATAATAACGACCATATAATTTTATGCAAAACATTACATCTTCCGTGTAAAGCACGACCAGTCCACGGATAGCCAGAGAAAAAGGTGCAATTTAACGATAAAATTCTATTTATAGATTATTCTGATAGTATAATATCATATCCCAAACAAGTTTTGCTTTTAAACGTTGTTAGCAAATGTCAAATGATAAAATTACATGACTTAAATGTATTTTTCACACTGAGAGCAGGATTTATTTACTATTAACGTACAAGTATATTAACAGAAAATTGGCTTACATTTTCTTTATAATTTTTTTAATTTTAACTGACACAGACGGCATGTTAATAGTTAACATGCCATATTTACGTTGAACTTGCGCCACGTCAGATGGCAACATGCGGGATGTACATTATATGCAAGTTAATAATTAACATATGAAGTTAATTACTAACAAATCCTTCTCTCAGTACGGCTATTTTTAAAACAATTGATATTATTTCAGGTGTTGTATGAAACAAATTATATTATGTGTTATGACTACACTATCGACAGAAATGATAAACATAAAAAAGTATATCTAAATGAAATCTGTTAGTTTTGTGTTGAAAGTAATTTGCAGTAAAACCGATTTTTTAGCCTTTCTGAAAAGATTTTGGCCATTTAGAGTGTTAAGATGGCACACAATGTCGCATTTTGGTTATTTCCTTAAAAAAATCAATCATTTTCGAAGGAAATAACATATCGCAATAATTGTTTTTTTTTTAATTAAAGATAATTGTACGTACAACAGAAAAAAATGTAGAAAATTTGATTGAAAAACTTCCCAGGCTGGAAAATTTGTAAAAATTTTGATTTTTTGAAAATCTAGAGTTTGAGTCGTGCAATTTTGTAATCTTACAAGATTTTTGTTTGAAAAAAAATGTCTACTGCACATTGGCATACACGTTCATTAAAAATAACATCAAAACCGTTCATTAGCATTCTAATCAACATGATTATTTTATTATAACTTCAAAATATAGATAAAATGGAGTTGTTGCTTAAAGCATTTAAAAATTTTATTATTAGAGAAATTGTTTAATCACAAACGAGCAAAAGAATACTAAAATTACCCTGAT